AAATCTGTGCTAAATTAGTCAAAAATGGTACGAATCTCGGCTAAATCGAGAAATCCGGCAATTTTAATTAAAATTTTAACAAAATCAGCATAGCTGAGACACGAACCATTCTAAATTTCTTTAACCGAGATTCCAACCGAAATATTTCAAATTTGTGCTAAGTTAGTCAAAAATGTTTTGAATCTCGGTCAAACCGAGAAATTATTTGTATAAATAATTTTTTTCAACTTTTTACATGTTTTTTGTTTAAATATTTTATTATTTATACAAATAATTTTACACGTTTGATTTCATATTGACAATCAGCAAACCAAAAACGCATATGAAATATTTCGGTTGGAATTTCGGCTAAAGAAATTTAGAATGGTTTGTGTCTCAGCTATGTCGATTTTTTTTTATTAAAATTTTAATTAAAATTGCCGTATTTCTGTATTAAATATTTTTTGTACTTCTACATTTGTGCCAAATTAGAAAGAAATCGGAGTGTACTTTTTAAATAGGTTTACTTATAAGTATTTTCTGATTAATCACGCGTGGTCGGCACTTCACTTCCTATCCCCTTCGAATTCTCAACTTCTATCCGCGGACGTGTAGTTGTCAGTCGGGAGTTCCGTTTTTGATCGCTCGTGTTTTTTTGCGAAAAACGCGATGCATAGTACGAACGTGATGCACAACGTTGCAACGTTTTGCAGTCTGTCGAGTACAAACGGGAATGTTTCCACGTTTTGGTTCTATGCGCAAATTTTAATGAGCATTTTGTTGCGAGCAGAGTGAAAGACGGAGAAGTTCCCCCTGGGAAGAAGAGAGAGAGAGAGAGTTGTTCTGCTGTCTGGATACAGTGAAAACGTATTAATTTGTTTACCACACACGACGTCAAAAAGTTTGGCCGATGGACGCGCTCTTTTTCAGCAAGTTCCAGCCGTCACGTGTCAACCGTAACGCGGTGGCGCAGTACGAAGCAGCGCATTTCGTCGTTTCCGTTCGTTAAATGGTCTGAGCTTAATTATCGTCGCGTCGTCGTAACAGACGTCCGTCAGTACATGTTCCTCGATGTCATAGCTCGCCGCGTATCGCGCAACACGAAGATAATCAGCGCGTTCGGAACGAGTTCCATGCTTCTTTGCACGCGAGACGTTCAAGCGCACGCGAGATGTTTCATCCTCGGCCGCGCGTTTAAAGAGAAAAACCGCCCCACGGGTATCTAGGAGGTATTCTAAAGGACATTTCTGTAATTGCTTTAATGGAGTGACATTACGATCCACCCTCCGCCGCGGAGAGAAAACGAATAATCCTGTCTGTCTCTCTCTCTCTCTCGCTCTTTTTTCACCCCCGACCATTTCGAGATTCGAAAGTCATTCGAAAGTCACGTTTCGCAGAAACTGTCTGGAAACTTGGCCAATGCGTCCGAACTTTGCCGAGCCGTTGTTGAGGGACAACCTCCATGACGAAGAAGTGAAGATGCCATCACCAACACCGATAAGAACAACATCAACTTTGGCTCTCAACTAGACGAAAACGCAATTAATTACAAGCGGATGCCTATATAGCAAGGGCCAAGAATTCAGGATTCGATATCTCGTGCGGATCGACGATTGCTCAAACAGAAAATTTCCAGGAAAAACTGGTTACCAGTCAGAAACTGGCCAGTTTTTACCGGCTAGGATTAATCAGTAACTGTTCAAAAACTAAACAGAAAAATTCTTGACCAGTTACTGATCAGAAGGCAGGCTATAAAAGTAGCAAGTAAATGCCGGGTTCTTCTGTCTAGTAAAAGTTCAGAAAGTATTAGCCAATGTTTTTGGCCAGTTACTGGTTAGAAACTAAGTAAAAAAAAATGGCAAACAAACTAGCCTAAACTGGCCAAAAACTAGTTAGTAATCAAAATTCCTGGCCAGCTACCCGATTATCTCACGTCTCGATCAGGTTAATTCCAATCAATTATTTGATTTGTATAAAGTGATGTCATCAAATCTCAACTACTAATATGATCTTAATTATTAATAATCCTGACTGTCACACTGCGAGTTACAACTTATCAGAACGCAACCACATCACTTTGTACAAACCAAACAGCTGATTGAGATCAATCTGATCAGAGGACCATGACATCAATTTCTAGGGTATTGACCAGAAAGAGGTCGCTCTTTCTACTCGAGTGCTGTGTAATCGCGAGAAATAACAAGACTCAAGTGCAAAGGGCCAAAAGGACCACGAACTAATATTATACGTGTCGAGTGGACGAAGCCAACGTAATTTTGGGAAGTTACAAACGTCATGAATTTTAGCTTGACCCGCATTGCAGTTGGCAAACTACTCGTTCTCGTCGATATGGCATGCGCGGACCGCGAACAGAGATCCGTAAACGATCAAGTTTCCCACCGAAGATCGCCAAGTGCTCGCGCGATTGTGCCCGGCGGGAGGGAGGACTGTAGAACTCGAAAACACATTTAATTCCATACCATCGAATTCTCGAGAGCGTGCGCGCGCGAAAGCACGCTCGAAAGCAGCGAGACACGTGCGCTTGCAACGACGACGTTCAATCCGCACCACTCCGGATCGCTGTTAGTCGTCATTCTTTCGCGAAAGTTTGATCCTTCGGCGAATTAATTGCGCCACTTCCGCCGATCACGTCCGGGACATCTGGTCTCTTTCCAACGATCGAATATTCCGCCCGACTTCCGGCCGTCGCGCGTCGATTTAAAGGCCCTCTTAAACTTCTCCTCCGTGGAAAAGTAACTTTCGCGGATCGCCGAGCAGCTTGCGGAACCCGACGGCCACCCCCAGTGCGCCAAGGCGGCGGGGAATACACGACGTTTCTCTTTTAACTGATGTCCCGCGGAATTAAATTTCCGCCGTCGCGGAGCTACCCGATTTTTCCGCCTATGCTCTTCCCCCGCAACGCGAACTTAAGATAGTTTCGTGTTAAATACACAACGCTGCGACTTGTCGTTCGACAAGGCGTCCTACAATGTTCCACACAGCCTCTCGCGAAAATTCACAAAGATTTCTCTTTAACTCAGAATAAGCATTCCTGTCGTGACAGCTCGGGTTCTCGTATTTTTTTGCGGAATGCTCGCGACGATGGAAAGGAAAACGGGGAAAATAAATAGCCGACGCGAACGGGGACTTTTCGTTTTCGAAAAGAAATTATTGTTGCGTTTATAGAAAATCTATAGACGTTAAACGCAGTGTTAAATACACTCCTGGTCACCTGCAGCGCTTTACAAGCGCTGTAAAGAACTTTTCGCTTTAAGAGTTCGCTCATCTTGAGAGATTTATATTGCGCTCCTGCCTCCCCTCCCCTTTCCGGTTCCTTCGAAAAAATATCTTGAACTTTCAGCAAATTTATACCCCAACTTTGCGACGGATATCTTCCTGTAGATTCGCGAATCCCCGAGAAATACGAGTTAATCAATTATTTTATGCAGTACTTCGCACAGTAAAGTGTTACTGTCGAAGAGATTTATCGTATCAATATGTACGTTTCACTCATGTGCTGAAGCACTCGTACGTACGCGAGAAGATGTCGTCTTTTATATGCTCTTTGCATGTACAAGTGTCCTTTATTTTTTCTTTAAATTAAAATAACACTTGAGACGGTTCTATACATTCTTCAGTGATTATAACAGAGACATGCAAAAATACACGATAATGTACGGACAAATGGTGGTAAAAAAATTAATTGTAACTAATGGTGCAGACATTTAACTTGCTCGAGACACAACTTTCGTTTCCCGGTTTTCGACAAAGCTTATTTGCTCCGACTGCTTACTGATAATCAGTCTGAAAGCGCATGAAAGCGGGATAGGAAAATTAACGTAACCGCGACGACCAAGATGCAAAACCTGTTGCAACGATGCAAAAGCTGCTTTCACGAAATAGTCCATAAAGAGAAAGAGAGACGAGACAAAAGCGGAGAATGCAGGAAGTTTCGCGCGCCGTAACTCTCAGAAAAATCGCGAAACTCAAACAAACTCGCAAAAAAAATACGATTTGCTCGCAGGAATTCACCGCGAACCGATAAACTTCGGTGCCAGCCCCGGTATTGTTCGCTTTTCCGCACGGAGTCACAATTTTTCTTTTCTCTTCACGATCGACGGTATCACGCGGCGCGATATATACACGTAGTTTTGACTGCGAGCCATTTCGCCGACTGACGAATCGATTTTTCGAACGGATCGATATGTTTTCTCGGCACGTCCGACACGTCAGATCTCACGACGGCGATGCGCGACGGTGATGTATAATTCACGATTGCCTCACGCTACTAACATCGACAACCATCTCGTTCAATATTATAAAGCTGTTTAAGATCACGGAACAACTGTGTGATAGCACATGTGACAGAGAAAAAGAAAGAGAGAAAAAGAAAGAGAGGCGATCTCTCTATCGGAACACAACCCGTTTTCGTCACTTAACGAGCTCGTTCTCTCCGAGCACGTCTCTAGTCGATATGTCTCCTTTTCTTCACACACTCTCTCGACTCGGAGTCGCCCTCATCCCCGTACGCGCCAAGACACACGAGGGACATCGCGAAATCTCATGCCAGCCGTTCTTTTTTCACATGATCACTGCGATACTCGCGCAAACATACGGCACTGAACCAGCGCTTTTCCGTTCGTCTCTCAATCTCTCCTGGAATTGCATTCTGCACGTAAATGCGTGTACACGTAACGACACATAAAAAGAGAGAGACACAGAGAGATAGAGAGAGAGAGAGAGAGAGAGGCGGGGTGTCGTGACGAGAAGAGAAGGAGGATGATGAGGAGGAGGAGAAAGAGAGGGGTAGGGGCGGGGGTGGGATAGGGTAAGGGTGAGCGAGAGCGGACACAGAAAGAGAGAGAGAGAGAGAGAGAGAGAAGGGAGGGGGATGTACAGGGAGAAACAGACTGACTCATGCTGCGCTTTCTTTCGTGCTGACGAAATGAACCAACGTAAAAAGGCCGTCGACACTCATCATGCACAGGTGGGACTATCATTTGTAGTGTGTATATATTCACGGTTGCCGGCGGTCCTGCGGTAAACGGGGTGGTAGTGTCTGGGTACATCGTCGCTCACCTGGGGTAGAATCATGACGTGCGGCAGCTGGCGCGCCTCGCCGCGCACTGACTCTCCCGCACCCCGAGCCAAGTTCTCCTCGCGCGCGCCCCAGCCGAATCCACCCCCCACCAACCCTCTCAGCATCCACCACCCTTGTGCAACGTCGCTCCGTCGCTCCCTCTCTCTCTCTCTCTCCCCCTCGCTCTCCCCCTGTCTCTCTGTAACGGTGTCTCTCTCCCTCTCCTTCTTTCTCTCTCACCCTCTTTTTCTGTCGGGAGGGAAAAAAGAGCCTTGGGGGTGAAGCGGCTGCGAGATGTCGGGCGAGACATACGCCGCGGTCGCTGCGCGAAGGACGACTATAATTGCCGTTCTTTCGAGACGCTCACTTATTAACGCGTTCGACTGAGTGGTACCGCTTATAAAGGGCGATTTAGTCATCAAAGTGTAGATTCTGGCGAGATAAAGCGAGAGGGACTGTGCGAGACGGATAAGAATGACGATGGTTCGCGCAAAAGTCGGACACGCATTACGGAGTGCGACGCACTGAATCACAACTGTGTTTCGACATTTTTCGATTCTAGACTTCTTCGGGGCCGATCGTGTGGAGATCATGTGATAGGTTAACTCGCGCGGAGTTATACGTGTACATAACTATTATTTCGACCAAAAGATCCAAAAACTCATTTTAAATGCGCGCAATCGTAACACGAATTTTTGAATCGAAACGGAGCTCAACGATTCTAATTTTCTTTTTCTTTTTTCAACATCGTAACGTAAGACGAAAGATTCTCCCCGTAATTTCCCCTTACCTAGAGTTGAGGGGGAATCGGTAGATTAAATATGTATTCCGACGTCATAAATAATCGTATGCTCGACAAATACAGTTCTTAACCGAAGGGATGAGCTCTGTCACTCTTATCGCGGTTGCGTGAAGAATCGCCCACGTGACAAAAAAACAGAGTAGCGGGACGATAAAACGCATAATTTTGAATTCATTGCGCAACCCCGCGTTATGTGTGGGCGATCCATCATCCCTCGCGAACGGAACGATTCTGATGTTGGCCGAATCCCGGCAGCCGCGGAAAGGTGAGATTTCGCTCGATAGGCTCGACGCGCCGCAATTTTTAACGCTGTTTCACCACGCGCGCGACGCTTTACGATAACAGCGCGAGGAATTGCGTAATTGCGCTCAAGCCGACGGGGAGTGCGCGAATCGACGTCGGGGTCGCAAATAGCTCGATAATTCACGCGCACCGCAGCTGTTAATCTCGCCGGAGCGCCGCCGTTCTCGAGATGCGTGCAACGTAAATCCGCGCGTCTCCGAGCTAAATCTCCGGAACGTCACGTCGGGCTTGCTCCCACGCGTGCAAAAAGCGCGGATTACCCTCTCCGGCTGGATACGCGACGTCTACGCGCCGATAGATGAACAGGCTGTCTCCTTCTTTCTCTTTTTTCTCTGTCGCGCGCAAAAAGCTGATGTATCTATCCTGTAGTTTCGACGAGAGAGAAACGCGAAAGCTAGTGTGCTTCTCGTGGTCGTACACGAGCAATTCGTCTCATGCGTTACGATTGCGAAACGAGACAATAAGCCGGCGAAAGGGTATCGGGGCCGCGTCGCAATCGTTCGCCGTTCGATCAAGGATCCTTGTCGCGGCCAGAAAGCTTCTCCATAGATAGGCATTACCGAAAAAAATGGGTCGGCACCTCGCCCGCTCTAGAGGGGAAAAAAAGAGTTCGGCTCTGCGTCCAACCACGACGTGCGCTATGAATAGATATTGGAAGCGTATTCTCCGCACTGGAGCGCCGCCGGTGATCGCGAGACATCGATCCGGAACCGACAGAGGTACATGTAAACCTGCCGCCCCAAGTCATTCGCGAATTTGCATTTCTTAACGTCCGACGGATCTACAAAGAGTCCGCTCTCAAGCGAGTTGGATATATCCGAACTCGTCGACGAGAGAACGAACGATAGAAGACATTGAGAGAAGAAATATCATGAAAATAAGAACTATTTATTCGGTGAGTGCTAATAACATATGCTTACTTATATCAATATAAAATGTTTTCCAAGTGAGGAAATACACATTTTCTGAAAATCTTAGCTTTTCATGAAAGCAACTGTTTATTCTATTTAAGAAAATTGAAAGAATTAAATTTAAGCTAATACAGAATGAGCTAGCAGCTACGAACGTGCTTCAAGATAAGTCGAAAACAGAGCCGCAAGTGTCACCGCAACACTACTTGAAATCAATTTGGCACGCGAAGATTATTCACGCGAGACAAATCGCGGGCCGCATCCAGCGACTAACGGCAGATATCAATTAAACACCGTCGTGAGAAAAGGATGACCTTCCCCGCGCTGCCTGTCGACACGTTAAATGATCGTAGATTAATTAAACCATAAGGCGACTAATTAAAGTTCTTGTAATAGGATCCGAGGATATAGCGACATTGTAGCGCAGTTTCGCGTCTAGCCACGGCGAGAGCAAGGTGGCGGAGAGCTTACGATAAATCAAGATTAATCGAGATTAAGGGACCCAGGACCGAAGGTGGCTATCGACACCAGCCACTTTCGCGGAAAGTTCCAGCGAGTGGCGTGGTGACCCATGTCGACGGAGATATTTCTTCGGCGTCTCCGCGCTCAGGGAATTAACGCAAGCTCTCGGGACGGGTGTCGATAGCAGAACTAATGCCGCGGGATCTCAAGAATGAAATTAGTTCGCGATGTTCGCGCGCACGTCCGCCGGATGTCAAGAATACTACGCGGCCGCATTCCCTCGCCATTCAGCGAAATCCGTCCGGTGCACATTCGCCTTCGACGTACGTAGGTTTATGTACTTTCCTCGATACACCGTCCCTTCTCCGTCCTCGCGTCGCCCTCTTCGCGCGCGCCCGCCCGTCCTGTTTAAATTTTATTATACTGCAAATCGAAAGCTCACGGAACCGCGTAATCAAGAGGAGAAATCGATACGCCAAACGAACGGCGCGCCCCAAAGCCGTTAAATTATTCAGCACACTGAGAGAAAAATATAGTTGCTTTCGGCGTCAATTATACTCTTTTGTGATTTTAACCATAAAAATAGCTGGGAAAACCATTATTTTAGTAACTGTTATTAGAAAGATGGTTCTTCTAATTATTTTTTTCGTTAAAATCACAAAAAAAGTTGACGCCAAAAGCAACTATATTTTTCTCTCAGTGCAGGCAGTGTCGGAGTCTGATTGATAACAGCGTGCGAGATGTGACGTGTCACATCTGTAAATGTCAAATGTGTCAGAATTACGTTCTTTTCAGTTGTCTGATTACATTTCGTCAAGAAATCCAGCGAGAGAGAAAGAGAGAAAGTGGCATGTTTTTCCACATATACGGCAAACTGTTCCCTTTACGATGATTTGATTAGCGTTCCATTTAGTGACGATTAAATATATTCCGTAAAATACACGGCAGAGTAATTTCTATAACAGATGATATTAAGGATTTATTGCAAGGAACGCGAGGCTAAAACACGTGTCGAGTTTATATCGAGCGATTCTCGCGCGGTCGGCGAGCACAATGAAACATTATCATTTCGCGACGTTCGGCACGCTTAAAGAGTATCGGGCCGGAATATGTAACGAGAAGAAGCAGCGAGAAGAGAAGCGATCTCGCCTACTTTCAACGAGCTTTTCCGATCTTTGGGAACCTGGCGCGAGTGTTTTTCCGTGTCACAGTTTTCACGCTCTAAATCGTTCCGCCGCGCGCCACCGGCACCTTCCCTCTCCCATTCTTCGTCCCCCACTGATGAAATTCTCGCGTTTCTTTGAGTCCTGTCGAGTATGTGCTGACATTTCGCATTTCAACCGGGCAAAGTCAATTCTTGGGAGAAACCAAAGCGAACGACAGCTCGATACATTGCTCGGAAATGGTCCACGGCGAGGAACTCTTATCGATTTCGGATAATTAAACTTTGAGAAGTTTCAAAATAGAATGCATCACACGCGACACTTGTCACTGCGTATAAACACCAAATTAACTCGCGGGATGATTATTTTGTATGACGCGTGTAAAGACAAGGACGACGGCAAGTGCACTGTGTAAGAGAAAAATATATAAAAAATAAAAGAATATTTTTCAATTGGCACTAATAACAAGATGTCATTGAAATTATGTGATTATATCGAAACTTCATAAATTTATATTGTTTACATGTGCATCATATCGTCCGCCTGTAATAATTGCAAAAAGCAAAATACGACGCGCGCGTTTTCATTATTCTCCCAAATGGCTCAAAGTAAAACCGGTTACATATTAATGTCACATTAGCGAAAGCATTCGAACGTTATCACGTCCAGAGAAAGAGAGAGAAAAAGAGATCATTCCTGAACCTGTTGCGCGTTCGTAACGCACATGAGCATCACTATCAACAGATACTTTATTGCGCGGTAAATTAAGGAGAGTGTCGCGGCTTAAGTAGTCAAGCTCATAAAATGCGGAGAGATTTCTGTTGCATCAATGTCGCCGGTGCTTGCAACAAGGCGTGCACAAGCACACATAATGAGACTTCGATCGACGATGCGCGATCGAAGGTCGGGAAAACTCGGAGGGAGAGACGTCGTCATCGCGCGGAAGTAATATTTATTGCACGTGTTCGCGCGCCACATTGCACGCTTCGCTTCCTTGACAAATCGCTTGCCACGGGGATCAACGTTCGCGTATGTTTATAGTTCCGAGAGATTTTAGTGTATTTCAAACCCGCTTCCTCATAAAACCTGCAGAAAGTCGCGCATATACACGCAAGAAATATCATACAAATTACAAAGATTAGAAAAATAAAAGGAGAATTAAAGCATGAAGTTGAAGGCTCTTCTGATACGCAATTAATTAAAGTAAAAAATAGGGTCAATAGGAAGCTAATGCACGGATCAGGTAGTGCAATAAATTTCTCAGCTGTAAGTATCCAATCTCGCAGGGATACTTATTATATTTACAAGCATAACATATATATGTGCGAATATAATAAATATCCTTACGACAAAAAAGTATATGTCTTTTAGTTTAGAATATAGAAGACAATTCATTCTTGACATATTTTCCTCTAATACAACAAACGACAGAGATATACTTTCGAATGTAATGCAAACTCGCGTTGTATGTATTTCTACGAAATTATTACCTTAAATAAGCACACAGCTGCCTATATGTGTTCTGTCGTCGCGTCGGAAAATATTTTCCATGTAAAACGCGAGCGGTGATATTAACGAGGTTACGACGAAACCTTTAACCCCCGAAGGCACGGTTCGTAAACCCGCGTGTTACGAGATTAATTTTACGCCGCCCGGGCCCGTTTCGACTTACGCCACGATAGCATCGTCGCGTGAAAAGTGCACGGTCGAGAGAAGCCAGCCACAGAGGTCGGGTGGCTCTCTAGTCGTGAACTCACTCCCGATTCCACGTGACTCGTGTATCGTTTCCACTCAACAATAGCCCGACATCTCGCGACATATTTTCCCGTCGCACTGATTACGGCGCATTGATTTAAAGCCACCTCGCGCGGTATTTCAATAAACCGGTATACGCACGGTTTATTGAATTTGATCGCTCCATTATTTAAAGCGTCCCATAAGCGCACGATATGCAATGCATTGTATACATGTGCATATGTGCACACAGACACACGTACGTAACGAGTATTCTAAATGCATGTATACTATCTGGAAAATGAAACCGTTCGAACGCTCGCGATGCTGTTTACGCCGCGATGCCGAGAGAAAGAGAGAGAAAGATTACGGATAAACGTTTCAGACCCGAGATATCTTCCTAGCCAATCTATGCACGCAAAATGCACGGCGATACGTACGTACAATAAGCCGCTATCCTCGCTGAGAGGTGAGCCAATGTACACTTTTATAGCAGCGCGTAGCAGTCGTATTCAGAGGAGCACGTAGGATCCACCCACGAGTCACGTCGCGTCTGACCATACGCGATGCTTATTCACTTACGACGGTACACGAGCACTTTACGAGCGCCCCGGATTTGCCGTACAATCCAAAAAATTCTGACAGAGCGGAACAAACGCGTCGTATTTGAGAAATAACTGCATGCTTTTTTCAGTGAAAACGCACACGGACGTTCACTGTGTCAACAAAATATGCCCCGCAGCCCTTATTGCAGTTTGCATATGTGTCAATTCGTACCGAGTGCGCCGAGAGCAACTTGATCGTTATGGAGTCTCTCGACCGCAGCAAAATTATTCAATGTTAAAAACGCGTTATTAATACCTCAATCTTTTTTAATTTCAAATTATCGGAATGCAAAATTCTGCGCGACGACATTGCTCGCGAAAAGTTGTCAAAATTCATTGATAAAGCACGCAATATTTGCAGAGAGAAAATTGATTCAATAGTTGTAAACTTAGATATCTAAATAATATATCAATTCAATAATAATTCAATTATGTCATGTGAACATGTTATATACAATAATAGTTATATATTATCCTATCTACTTGTTTTATTCTTCTGGAATCAATGCGATTTACATATAAGCACTACGGAAAGTGACACTTTTTGAGCATCTAAATTGTACGCTCATCACAGCGTATGTCTCGATATCGTACGCAGTTATGACACGTTATTGCGAAGCGCTACTCTGATGTGCTATTCTGAGGCGCAATCTCGATGCGCATTTTTGACTGCTTAAAACAATTGCGGAACTGCACGGAATGAGTTGGAAAAGAGAAAATATTAAAAATCGGTAACTTTCTCTGTTAAATAATTTCGAATATACCCGTGAATCGCGCGTGTAAAACACGAGTCGGGAATCACGGCGCTTTCGACAAAAGATCGAGAGAAAACGAAGACATTCCGTTTTGCGGTTGATTATGCTTTGTCAAAAAAGGAAATTAATGTTTCATGGGAATTCTAATTGTTAACAGAAACGATAAATATCAAGGTTGCTCATTCATTTTAATCAACATGATGTAAATTGTCACGCGTGACAAATGTGGAAAATCAACGATCGCGGCGAACGTAAAATTTATCGCGCGCAAGATAATCGTGAATTTCACGTCAATTCTGATATTTCAAGTTATTTAAAACAATCGTCCGTCCGTTTCGCGCAGTGTATTTCGATGGACAGCACAAACACATACGTGCGAAAAACCCTACACTGAGAGAAAAATTTTTGGTATTTATGACCATAATTGCATAGCGAAATGATTACAGCCGAGAAACCCGTTTTTGTAGTAATCGCTGCTGTGGTGCTTATCGGTAATAGCCTTCTGTGCATATTGCCGCTACCACTACATTTTCTCTTAGAACAACAAAAAGATGGCTGGCGCCGAAAATGACTATAATATGCGGTGAGATTAACTGTTCTTTTTTCTCCCAGTGTACATGCAGGAATTTATAAACTATGTAAATCGCATTGATTTCCACGAGATTGTGTAAACTCCCGTCACCTACTAACCCACCACCTAAAAAAGTACAAACAGCATTTCTCGTGCTGAATTTTCTCACTCACCGAGGATCTGCACCGAGGATCGGCCGCGTTCTGCTACAATTCTGGAACAAAAAGATAGAATCGTCGATTAAATACATAAGATAATTAGATGAAAAAAGTAGTGGCGTAGCCAGGGGGGCTGAGAGGGCTGCAGCTCTCCCCGAAATTAATTTCCTTACGCGTAGACACAAGTGTGCCGATCTTTTGCGAGGGATTAAAAAACGCAAAAATACGAAAAATGTTAAAATAAACTTACCTTCGAGCCGATCCTACACGGCTCGAACCGGATCCTCCGGTGCGGCCTCCATACTCATCGAATCTGCACCTCCCGGGAACCGCCTCCGCCATGTAGCCATAATCTCCGCCCGATCTGAAGCAGAAAGCGAATTTCCCGTTTGGTTACATCGATAGATGTCAACGTATCTCGAGAATAAAGAAAGATTCGAACTGTACTTTTCTTCTAAATTAACGAAACGAAGACGTCGTGATAGTAACTCTTAATCCTTACCTCACATTTGAGCACAAAAGCAGAAAGGCAGAGAGGTAGAAGGCAATCAGAACTCGCGCTGGTGGTCAGATGGTGTAGTCGAAGTATTTTGTTGCACACAGTGGTTGCACGGTGAAACCATCCTTAAAAATAGAAAAAAAATCAATTCAATATTTTAGGCTTTCGCGGTGTCCATGCATATTAGATTTGTTTTCCGGGTTTGAGCCGCGTGGATTCTTCTTTGTTTGATTCCGACGTTTTGCGAACATTTCAGTCCGCTTCGTCAGGGAGCATCGGGTCATTCCTCCCTGACGAAGCGGACTGAAATGTTCGCGAAACGTCGGAATCAAACAAAGAAGAATCCACGCGACTCAAATCCGGAAAACAAATCTAATAGAAAAAATCAATTTCAAAAGGAATGATCTCTTGGATTGTCATTCAGATACGTGATGTGAAAATTTTATTAGAATCCGAATCTTGAAGGTCCTGTGCTTCAAAAAGTTAATTCCGGAAACGGAAATATCGCATTTTCGCGAGCACAACGCAATAAATACAGCGAGTCATGTGCTATGTCGGAAAAAAGGGAAATTCGTAAATATTCTCGCGAGGCGAGCTCGTGTTACGCCGCCCATTGGCGCTGCGCTCGATCGCTCGGGAATATTTTATTGCGCTACGTCGGGTGTATTTTCTCGCCGTAAAGTGCACATCGGCACACACGTACGCACACATGCATACCACGTAAGAGAATCGCCGCGGGACGGTCCCGCTTCTGCAGACGGATACGCCATTGTTCTTTTGCGAGTTTCGCGAGTTTTTCAGTTTACAAACAAAAGCGCTTTATTGTCTTGGGGAAACCAGAATTATGAGTAATTAATTACTTTTTCAATTAATTATCGAATTTAATTGACGATTACTATAAGCCTATCCAATTGAAAATATTTTAATTAACCACTGACTTCAAAAAATCTAATTAAAAATCGTTCAATTAATGATTGATTTGAAGGAATTCAATTAAAAACTGTTGAATTACGATTAAAATGAGCGCAAGTAATTAAAGATTATTCGATTAACGATTAAACATAGTCAATGTAATTAAAGGTTATTTAATTGACAATTGATATAAGCGCAGTAGACGATTGACCAATCAATCACAATCGAAATTAATCGTAGTTATTTACATTGCTTATGGTAACTAATCGAGCTAAATATATGCTTTTTTATATATATATATATATATATATATATATATATATATATATATATATATATATATATACCTTATATCAATTGTCAATTAAATAACACTTAATTATATTAACTATGTTCGATCGTTAATCAAATAATCTTTAATTACTTCCGCTCGTTTTAATCGTTAATTCAACAGTTTTTAGTTGAATTCCTTCAAGTCAAAAATTGAATGATTTTTAATTAGATTTCTTGAAGTCAGTTAATTAAAATATTTTCAATTGGATAGGCTTATATTAATCGTCAATTAATTAAATTAGAAATTATTTACTCAAATCAATTATTAAATTGAGGTGAATTTAATTGATATTTTTACAACTCTGCTTCAAATATAATCAATGGACGTTTCTTTGGTGGAATCGCGATTCGAGCAAATCGAGAAGTGCATCGGTTAAAAAAACCCATTGATTCACATTTTACTATACTGTCGTTTGCGCAACGTATGCGCACTCGGAATTCGCGGAGCGAATACAGAAGAAATCACGCGGTGAGAATAAGAGAGCAAAAACTAAACGAGAAAACGCCTACGCTTCGCGCCCGTATTGTCACAAAGTAAAAGTATCAGTCCCGAACGCATACGCGTAGAGAGAATTTTATGGCAAAAATTATTATAGAATTTTGTAATCGAGGAGTAGATTAAAATTCTGCAGTAATATATTATCCCTTCGTTTTTCACATGTGCTACTTGGAAACTAAAGGGTGCTATTGACAAATTTGCTATGTTACTTAACAAGATAGACCTTACTAGCAGTCTTGATCTATTAAAAACATGTATGGCACAATTGAAAAGAATTTATATGAAAAAGAAAAGAATTAATATTTTCTTCGTGTATCTAATCCTGAAAATTCTTATTGCTTTGTTCTTTAAATACGAATATTTAAATTTTGAACATACATGCGAAGAAAGGATTAACCTCAAGAGCTAAAATGTAACAGCTAAGAACATGTCATTGAAATAAGCAGAGTTAATATCGTTGCTACTGCACTGAAAGAAAAATATATCTACGAATTAATAAGTATTTATAAGTATTTATTTTTAGTGGATACACTATTTACTCAAATCTAATAATAAAATCTAAATTCTATTATTTAAATAAAACAAACAATTGCTTTCATGAAAAACTTAGATTTTATCAAGATTTTAAAGAAATGTATATTTTATTATTTAAAAAATATTTTCGATTAGTGCGTGAGTAAATGTATGTTATTTAGTACCCATCAAAATATTTACTATTTCTTAGATATTTTTGTCTCTCAGTGTGACTATAGAAGGTTTCCATTATTATCAATTCGGTTTCCACTTAAATTGCGCTTTATGCCCGTCGAAAATGTAAAATTGGCAAGACTGCTAATTAATCACGTTACCATAACAGACGATATGAAAAAAGAAATCTCAACAATTCGATCGCAGATTGTTAACTTTGGCGCAAACACAAAGTGTCTTTCGTACTTACATAACGCTGTTCGATCCTTATGATACAGAAGGGCGATTTCACGTTCACTAGAAGCGCGGTAATTTTCCCCGTGCAATGGCGTTGGTTTCAAGTCGCTACGACGTCCACAAGTGGAATTATTTACAATTATATCGATCCGCGTTCTAGATCGTTCAGCGGAAAAGACACGACGAGTGAAAGGAATGCGGAGCGCGCGGCACTCTCTCTCTCTCTCTCCCGGAGAGTCACCTACTACTGTACGCGACGGCACGCGGTGGTACGGCTCATTGCTCTCCCCCCTCCCTCCCCCCTCACGCGACTCAGATAAGCAGATACTCCGCCCACTTTCTCGCCGCGGTCGTTCACCTCACTTTAGTACGCATCGCGCCGACGCCAGAGCAAGTACGCGCGCACGTGTTAGACGTCTATACAGCGAGGTTGTAAACGCTTATAACACGCGAAATAAATCGAGATAAATCGAGGTAGCGATATAAAATAAAAAGGAATCTCCTTGGCACGCGTCTGTACTGCTCTTTCGTTGTTCAGTTGTTCAGTTGAGTGTTTTAATCGGTTGAAGCGAACACGATGATCAGAATTGCGAATAATTACTTTTTTAATTAATTGCCGAATTTAATTAACGATTAATGTAAGTCTATTCAATTAAAAATATTTTAATTAACCACTGACTTCAAGAAATCTAATTAAAAATCATTCAATTAACAATTGATTTGAAGGAATTAAATTAAAAATTACTGAATTAACGAGCGAAAGTAAAGATTATTCGATTAACGATTGAACATAGTCAATGCAATTAAAGGTTATTTAATTGGCAATTGATATAAGCAAATTTAATCGAAAAACGATTGACCAATCGATGTCAATCGAAATTAACCGTAGTTATTTACATTGCTCATGGTAATCATTAATCGAATAATCTTTAATTACTTTCACTCGTTTTAATCGTTATTTCAACAGTTTTTAATTGAATTCCTTTAAATCAATGGTTAATTTAATGATTTTCAATTAGATTTCTTGAAGTCAGTGGTTAATTAAAATATTTTTAATTAAATAGGCTTATATTAATCGTCAATTAATTAAATTAGAAATTATTTACTCAAATCAATTATTAAATTGAGGCGAATTTAATTGATATTTTTACTACTTTGGGGGAAACACAGCGCTGGCCGGTAAAAACAACCGTTGCGCTACCTCGTGAAGCTTCAGAAAGCTGCGTGACTACGCCACGGAGGGAAAGCGGCACAGAATGCAAAAGCCGCAGGGAAGCGCCGCGTCCCGAAGGATCTCCGATACACATCACCGACAAATCCGTATCTCGTCTTTGTACGGTAAGACATTATGGTTGTTTCGCGACGACCAAGACCGTACCTTCCCTTCATCCCTGTCTCTCGAGGCTGCAACAAGGGATATGCGACGAAGTTCATTTCGCGCGCGCCTTGCCATCGATCGGAACGTGTATTCTGATTCTCCACTCTAATTTAACGGATAAAAATCGCACTTCCTTTAATACTTGATACTTTGCCACCTTCTTTCATTCAAACCTTCTCTCTCTCTCTCTCTCTCTCTCTCTCTCTCTCTCTCTCTCTCTCTCTCTCTCTCTCTCTCTCA